ATTCTCGCCTGAAGAATACAATAATTTAGGGTTCTGTGGAATCACTGCGCATGGTCGATTCGCCTATTGCTGCAAGACCCGATAGGCGATGGTACAGATATCCAGTTGCAAACATCATTCAGCTGGGCACACATTAAATGCGTCTTGTCTGCTTCCACAACAATTGCATACAACCTTCGTCCGGCCAGGCAAGGGTGGCATGCATCACATTGTCCGCCGTCCGGTCGACTGCCATTTGCTGACCCATTTATTATCGCTTGGCTTCGCTGTCTCTTCCCGATTCAGCCTAACTACGCATCACTTTACTGCCGACGTTAATAGCATTTCCACTGACCTGAAAGACACCATAGCTTGACTAGTCTTCTTCACCCTTTGGGCCTCAGTGGTACGTACCTGCACGTCTGCTTGTGCATTCCTGTGTGCTGGTTGCGCCAAAGCAAGTCCTTCATCTTCACAGTAAGCCATTCCAGGACACGGCGATAGTGTAAGCGGAGAACGTTAGTTTAACATGAGACTGACTCTTCTGCCCCTCGTGGGGCTTCTTCGAATCTTTGTTTTTGGTTACAGCTTCGGGGTGATTTGTAACACTTTCAAAGTTACTAAATTAAATCACAGTTCCATTCACCCCAGGTCGTATAAGGTCATAATGAACTGACAGTTGAAATTTTCCACATTTAAATCAGTTTTGATTCAATATCCCTTGGCCTTCTTGCTCCCCGAAGGGTAGATTCATGCAAGCTGGACTGCAGGTCTCATCAACCCCATCGGCGGGACTTGAAACTGGTCATTGCAGCGTATAGTCGTGACCCAGGCGGGGTCTGAACTGCATTCCAGTACGGCGTGGATGAGGTAAATTTAATTAAAACATTATGGGAAAAATTCGACTATCATTTTTCGTTTACAAATACAATGTCGAGACTACCAGTAAATCACTTATATGTGATATATTCACACTATTTCGTTTAAGGTAATGAAGGACTGGCAGTTAACTTTGTCCACAATCATATAAGCAGAGTTGACTTTTAGATTGAATTCCACATAGCCTTGCTTTCCCAGAAGATGTTCTCATCCCGACTGGTCTTATCAACACCCCAGCGGGACTCGAATTGCGAAACTACGGTGCACAATCTCGGCTTGTTGACCATTTCACCACACACTCTCACGAGTGGCCTTGGGTCTCAGGACAGATTTCAATTTCACGGAAGGCCAGTCATTTTCCAATATCACATTCTTTGGTGTGATTGTCGGTGGGACAAAGTTTTATTTATTATAACGATCGTAAAAAGTCTTATTTTATGTTCATAAGTAGTATCACCTTATGAGACCTAGAATGAAGGGAACTGATCTTTTCGAAAACTTATCTTAACTACTGTAGGTGGCCAGTGCTTAACTGGG